AACTTCAGTAGCATGGTTGAATAACACGGAACACATGACTGTGGAGAAAATTAGAGAGCTGTGTTTTTTGGCACGATAGTGTCCTACTGGAGTACAGAGGTGCCTCGCATGCCAGCGCACCATCAGATCCCCTGGCAGTGGCAGTCTGCAGCTCTCTCCTAGGCAGTCATGCCACAAGTGGGGGGCCAGCTCTCACTCTCATCCCCAGAGAATCCCCCTCCCACCCCGCCCAGGGAAATGCCCCATTCATCAAGATGTTTTATCAGGTACAACGAAAATGTGCCAGAAGTACTGGTAATACTGCTAGTCATACTAGTAATAGCCAGAACTCCTAAAATAAATTTAACACTGTTACTATCTGTGATGATTTGATGTGAAAATATGTGGGCAGGAAAACATTACAGGCTTTAAAATATAAATTTTTTTATCTACTTACAATGCTATTTCTATTCAAATTACGTTACAGAATTCCCCACTACCTTTTAACTATTTCTTCAACTTACTCTTTGTGTATTTCTTCTTTTCTAATTATTAACAAAAGAAAGACTGTTACGTAACATTTGGTTCAGTCTGTTTCCATTGTCTATTAATAATGATTTTATTTTGGCATGCAGAGAGAGTTCAGTCTAACGGTGGTTTTTTTCCTGAAAAACTTCACTTGTCAAAAGCGTGACAGCTGAACAAAAATTAAGCAAAAAAGCAACAAGAAAGTTTTCCCATAGCCAAATCTCCAGCCAAAGGAGAATGGTTGACAAACTGTCCAGTAAGTCAAGAATGTTACCGAACTTAAGGTATTTAATGAGAGTTTAACATGCAAAACGTTTTTCAGACCTGCAGCATGTTAGGAGCAGTCCAAAGTTTCCAAAATCAGCTGTATATCCACTTTTACTGCCCACTGAACACATAGCTCCTCTGGAATTGAAGCTCATAGAAGCACCTCCATGAAATACCCATCAATTCACACACCTACGTGGGCATTTTGGTGTTAAAATCACAGCTACATACAGCAGGGAGACCTTTGCATAGTTTATTTGTCTATATTCCAGCTGCCCCTGAGCAACACAGGTAAGGTTTTGGAACCATCAGCTGGCTAAAGGAGCTTTATAAGGGATATCACGTGGCAGCTGAGACATGCCGGATAAATATGAGCCTCTTACCGCACCACAGAAGAAAAAAAACCATCAAGTATTTTAATTTAAATCTTTCACCAAGCTAGAAATATGACCACAGTCAGTTATACAGCTCAACCGATCAAGCTATAGTAGTTGACTCATCTATTTCAGTATAAATCTTCTAAAAATTGTAACAATATTACAATCAGAAAAAGGTTACTCTGAGGCAAGTAAGGTTTATCCTCATCATTTTCAGTGCCTGTGTTTTCTAATCCAGTATTTTTTAAATGCACTGGGGTTTTCTTCCATACATGATTATCACTCCAAAGCTTTCATTTTTTTCCGTGATATTTTGACTTCTCACCTAAGTGGTTTCTGCACAAACAGAAGTTCTTTGGTGCTTACTCAACGCTACAACGTGTGACATTGCTGCTATGACACCATGACTACTCATATTGCAAGTGGAAATTCTTCAGTTTTTCAGTTCCACTTTAAGTCTATTCTTTGCTCTGAAGACTAAGGCTTTTGTGTGATTATGCTTTTCATCTTGACTAGGAGTTCGAGATACCAGAACCATTAGTTCAAAGGGAAAATCCTGAAAGTTATTGGGTTTTTTCTAATAACTCTAGAAGTTTTACACAATAGGTAGATACAGTAAGCTCACATGCAACCTTGTCCCACAGTTTTGTGACTGATTTCTATCATATTCTCTAATTAAAGAACTAACTATTTCACAAAACTGGTCTTACTATCCTTGCACTCAAAACTATACTTCTGTTGTTTCTCCACTGATTTTCCTGGCTTCCCTCCATTTTTAATGAGTTCCTTAGATGCACCCATTAGAAGACAGACCTTCTAGAATGAAAAACAGCATTATACTCCTTCAGATGCACACACATGTATACGCACCCCACAGAAGGACCTGAGCACCCTTTGCTACGATTGGGGCTTCTGAAGACACACAGTCTGTTATGAGATGGTCAAAGTACCTCGTAAGACTGGATCTGCAGACAAGAAAAAAAAAGTGAAAAAAAAGGCAGCAACAAAGAAACACTAATCATTTCCTCTGCCCTTAGTCATTAAAAACCTTTGTGCCACTTGAGGGAAGCAAGGTATTTCTCTTCCATACTAGTAATGGCTGCTGCACCTGTGTTAACTTAATCCCACATTATGACCTCTAATACCAGAGCACCGAAGTCTCGGCGTAGGAAAGGAGGACTATTGAGAAAGCACATGCAATTACACTGCCTTAATTCAGAGCTCGCTCTGTACCTGGGTTAGCTTTCCTGGAACACCTGGAAAACGGTTTAAAAGATAAGAAAAAACAAACTTCGGGCTTGTGCTTTCTTTTGAAAGTACTCTGAAGTGATTATAATTTGCTTCTGACAATTAGGCAAACCTAATTGAGCAACCTCTACTCCCACATGTGCTTGTGACGGAATGATTTTCCAATTTAGTAAAAGATAAAGAGCTGTTAATACTGGCAAACATAAAAAAGAAAATGTTTATTTTTTCTGAGCAGACCAGACTGCCACCACTACTATCATTTACTTCTGTATGCACTACTTCAAAACCAACCATGTTTTCTAAAACTGAATTTTAGTTTTCAAAGCAGTCAGAAACAACACTAAAAAGCTGATCAAATAAAAAAAAAATCGGTTTTTTTCTTTGTCTGTTCACACAGCATTGAAAACTGAAACTCGTCGTTCTCTTTCAAGTACACACTTGTTCCCTCTCTTATATTTTGTTGTGTCAGTACTTTTGCTGTCAGTATGTCACGATATTGTCGTGACTTTGCCAAACGCTAGGAAGGCTGCAGGCATCACTTTCACAGGCTTTCAAGACCAGGCTGGATGGGGCTCTGAGCACCCTGATCTAGTTAGCGGTGTCCCTGCTCACTGCAGGGGGTTGGACTAGATGACCTCTAGGGGTCCCTTCCAACCCAAAGCACTCTGTGATTCTATGATCAAGAGAGGGACAGTAAGACTGAAAAAAGATCAGACTTTATACCTTTTGCCTGTATGCCAGAGAAAAGGTTCTTGTAAGGTTATAAACATCATGCTTTGGGGCACAGGTTTTGTGTCCTTTGTAGCAACTGCTGTCACCTCATGTAAGAGAAAGGGCATGAGACCAGCTGGATCCGGGTGTCCAATCCTGTACCATGGTGTGAAGCTTCACCCCTGACCCAAGAGCATTAGCGCGGGTCACTAGCGCGTTCCCCTCCAGCAGAAACACCCGTGTGTGTACCTGCTGCGGTGGCAGGTTTTTGTGGGCATTTCTGCACTAGGGACTCCACCACAACCACCACTGGCGTGAAAGCTGCCACGCAGGCATCGCATAAAAGCCACTGCTGTCCCTCCAGCTGAAGACTGAACCATAATCTTGAGGCTTTGCCAGCAAGCGTAACTTTCAATTTCCAATTAATCCGTTGATCATCTCATAGTCAAGACAAAACAAGTTCTTGAAACAAACATACAAACATTTCCCTCGAACATGCACACACCCTTCCTGTGTTTAGTAACCTCACCAACCAGGCCAGATACAGACAGTACATCAGGACATCTTTTCTTTGGCAGCGGGAGACAGCGGGCATGCTCGCCTGATGCAAGAGCGCCTGCTGCCCGGGAAGGATCACCTCCCTCCGCCTGCTGCCAACGCCTTGCCTACTGCAGCCCGGGATGCAGTTCGCCTTCTCTGCCCCCCCGTGCGCTTTGCTGTCTCCAAACTGGTCAACTTGGGGTCCACCATGACCCCACACGTCTGCACGGCTGCTTTCCAGCTGTGTGTCCCCCAGCAAATACTGGTGCAAGGGCTTGTTCCTCCTCAGGCGCCGGGCTTTGCTCTTCCCGTTGTTGAACCACGCGAGGCTCCTGTCAGCCCCCTGCTCCAGCCCGCCAAGGCCCCTCTGGTCAGCAGCACCACCCTCCCCGCGCCATCACCTCGCTGCACCTGCGCTTGTCTTCGTGATAAACGGCCGGGCCGCCATCCCGCCCGCAGCCACGCGTGAACCAGCCGCCGGCCTAAGGGCCTGGGGCACCAGCCCCCTCCTTCCCCAGGCCGCGAAGGGGGTGACGCGAACTCGGCCCCTGCC